AGTGCGTTTCAAAACTTACGACCTCACACTTAAACACATATCTCTAAATTTCTCTTACGGATGAATACGAATTTTCGCGTATAACCTTAGACTTTCCATGTCCTTATAGTTTTATAATTTGCAATTGCACAGATGCTGCTGTTTACTTCAATTTGCTAATTTCTTTGGTCTGTCCGCCTTTTCATTTCCCAACATACCCGCGTATCCCGGTGAAAAAATCCAGAAAATACTCCTCACCCGTGTCCTCCGCAGTGAAGTATACCACTGTGCACGAATCATGCCTGTCCTGACCTCCCCCAGCATACTTTCTGAGTCAGTTACAATCACTGTGTGTGTGTGTGTGTGTGTGTGTGTGTGTGTGCGCGCGTGCGTGCGTGCGTTTCTATCTCTCTCTCTCGTGTTGTCTAACCAAACAAAAATAGAAGATAGAGTAATTAATAAACGTGTGTTGATTGTTTGAAAATCAGTTCACATGTGCAACAGTGTGTGATGATTATTTTGAAAGCCTATCCCGCATACAGTTAATAAACCACAATTCACGGAAGACTAGATCTGGAGATGACCAGCTGAGAGTAAAACGCATATGAGACGCGTGCAGTTTGATGCTTTGAAAAGTTCCCCTTACTACGTTTACTCAAGTTAACACGCTGATTGTTTGACTTGACCCGGTATTTGTGTTGTTTTTTTTTAAAAACATATTTTCAATTACCGAAAAAAAAAAAAAACAGGCAAAATAAAATCTAGATTTTTGTTAACACGAGAAAAAAATTTTTTTTTAACAATGACATGATTATTGTTAACAGGCTGCATGCCAGATTTCAACAACTTTCACCCAACTGTTACTGAATTACAGATTTTTAACGTTGGGCGGAATTTCTGAAACAGACTGTAGTTATGTTAAGGGGTTTTCTTAATAAGTATCATATCCAGCACCATTTTAGTCTTACTGCTTCACTGAAATGTGGCTAGTTTGTTAGTATTGTCGCTGAGCTTCACATCAGTGATTCTGTCATATCCAGCACCATTTTAGTCTCCCTGATTCACTGAAATGTGACTAGTATTGTCGCTGAGCTTCACATCAGTGATTCTGTCATATCAATTAATTCCCCATGTCCTGCGCAAGCAACGCTTAATGCATTCTTTAAAAAAAAAAGTGCAATAATTGCTATAGCCATTCTTCATACTTCTGCGCCAACTATAGTTCTGATCGGACGTTAGTTAAATATTGTAAGCTTGCTAAAAGTGTATCCAGTGACGCCTCACATATTTTTAATGCTGGGAAAAAACTCCTCTTGCCGTTTGTGTTCATAAAAAAAAAAAAAAAATAGGTAGTCGTTCGTCGTCCTCTCTCCCTATACTCCCTCTCTGCTACCCGAATTCTCCCAGCCTCCACACAGGACAGCACAGAATATTGATGTCACAAAAGACAATCGGTCTTTATTGAAGGGGACAGAATCGATTCTTTCTGTGAGTGCCGATCAATAATACATTTTATGTTACTTTATTCATATATAATATTTACCGGCCTCAATGGTTCCCCCCTCTGTTTATTTATGGGAATGACGTATACACATAGGAACCTAACAATCAAATACCTTTCTTAAATGTTTGTGAATTCTAGACAAAGCGTTACGGTCTACGGTGTTCGTAAATTGTTGCTGTGCTTGTTATTCGACATTTGCTTCGTTAATATAAATTTATGTAACCTATGGTGCCATTTCAATGGTTTGAAATGAATTTTGTCCGTATTCCATAGTTGTGGATTTCAAGCTGTACGATAGACATGGCCAATAAGAAATCTTTTTTTTTTTTGGGGGAGGGGGGGGGGGGGGAGGGGTTTCCTTGACCATGTTCTTAGTGCACTTGTTTCCATAGCGAGGCGCACACTCCGTCTGAAGGTGACAGGTTCGATTCCCGGCATGTCAACTATAGCTTTCGATTTTTATGTTGTCTAGTGTGTTCTTTTTATCTTTCTACTTATTTCTATGAGTACCCATGAATACATTTTCTGTTACTTTATTCATTTATAGGAGAGGAGTAGACTTATAAGAAAGCCATCACTCCTAAACTCAGGAATGCCTGCATGCAGAAACGTGTGGCTCGATTATATTTTTATGCAACGGTTTTGTCACAAGATACAGGATAGTACTGTGTGTCTTCTTCTTCCTCTGCCTTTCTATCCCCCAATGGAGCATAGGCCCTCAACCAACCTTGACCATGTTCTTAGTGCACTTGTTTCCATAGCGAGGCGCACACTCCGTCTGAAGGTGACTGGTTCGATTCCCGGCATGTCAACTATAGCTTTCGATTTTTATGTTGTCTAGTGTGTTCTTTTTATCTTTCTACTTATTTCTATGAGTACCCATGAATACATTTTCTGTTACTTTATTCATTTATAGGAGAGGAGTAGACTTATAAGAAAGCCATCACTCCTAAACTCAGGAATGCCAAAACAAACCTGCAGAAACGTGTGGCTCGATTATATTTTTATGCAACGGTTTTGTCACAAGATACAGGATAGTACTGTGTGTCTTCTTCTTCCTCTGCCTTTCTATCCCCCAATGGAGCATAGGCCCTCAACCAACTCACGCCAAGTCGTTCTATCCTTCGCCATTGCATGGAGCTCTCCCTGTGTCATCCCCATCTTTCTAACTTCATTCTCCAGCTCTCTTCTCCATGTGTTTTTTGGCCTTCCTTTATTCCTATGCCCCTGTGGGTTCCAATGCAAAGACATTCTAGTTATGCAGTTCTCTGGTTTTCTTAGTGTGTGTCCTACCCAACGCCAGCGTCTTTTCCTCACCTCTTGGTCCACTGGAGCCTGTTTAGTTCTCTCCCAAAGCTCTACATTAGTTATTCTATCATTTCCTGTTGTGGGAACTAGATGGTAAGTGGGATCCACTGCAGTAGAAAAGGTGTGCCCCTGGGAAATATCTACCCTCCCACAATCCATATAGCTCCTAGTTGTGTTTCTCGGTAAAGATGACAATCATTCTTATCATTCTTTTTCTGGTTTGAAAGGTTTGACGCCTGGTTTGAAAGGTTTGACGCCTGGTTTGAAAGGTTTGACGCCTGGTTTGAAAGGTTTGACACCTAGTTTGAAAGGTTTGACGCCTGGTTTGAAAGGTTTGACGCCTGGTTTGAAAGTTTTCACGCCCAGTCAGTTCAGTTGCCATTGCGTCAGTCCAGCAGGCGCAGATCCCAGATGTCCTGTTCCGCCGTTTAACACAAGTTATACTGGGTCTGTTCCGACTTGTTAAACTGTTATATTGGAGTATAGAACGGCTACATGAAGTAACTTTCTGTGGTGTGTGACGGAAGTCGGGTGTAGTCGAGATAAGTTTAGAACCACTGACGAAGAGAATAACGGATATTCTATGATAATATGGAGTGTAGAATCTGCCAGCCGATTGACCGGCATATACAACCTGACCAGTGCCGCCTGATTTCATCGGAATGTATGGTGAAAGATGAATGATGATGACGCAGCATTGTGTGTATGTATGTGTGTGTGCGCTCGCGTGTGTATGTACATGTGTGCGTGCGTGTGTAATGAGCTTCACCATTATTACTCATAGCTGTAACACAATATGGTGAGGTAGAGATGGTGGGTAAAGTCGATAGGAGAATAATAATAATAATCAATGACGGGCAGCCGACATTTTGTTCCAGCGGTATGCGGCGGAAATAGACTGGAAGAAGGGGAGCTAATCAGAAATAACCTGCTATCCTTTGGCCGTGGGTTCATAGTTAGAAAATAAACCCACCCACATTGGACGACAGTAATTGTCCCTGGCTCCTAGGTCGACCCAGCCTTAACTGGCTACAGGAAATGTCATGGGAATTAAAGGCGGCCTGTATGATTTTGAGCACATCACCCATCCAGTCCGGATTAATAAAATAAAAATAAGGCATAACATAATCTTGATGCACCATTGGCGTGTAAAGTGGTCGTTTACTTTCTGACATTTTACATCGGCCAGCAGGGTGTTCGGTCACTTTGGACTGCCCTGATGCAAGTGTTGTGGACGGTTGAGCGGGGTTTCTGGCATTTGTTTCTTTTGGGACACATAAGAATAGACCACTCCTTGGGCCGCCGGGTGTAAAGAAACAGCAAGTGAGCTCATTCCTGATGCATTGTCCCGGTGTATCTAGCCGTTCTGCGGAGAGAGACAGAGTCGTATGGGGTGAAGCTGGGTTTAACCTTTAACCTCTTCTCATTCCTCTCCTCTTCTCATCACCCTTTCTAGGAAGTAAAGAATAATACTGTAGCTTCTACATGTGCGAAGAGGTGACCGAGGAGAGATGATAAGAGACTTGCCACTCATATCACACATCACAACATAGAAAACTTGAGCCACACAATAGGAAAATCATGAGCAACAGGCTTCGAGAAGCTTGCTGCGATCATGTGCTCTCTCTCTCCCTCTCTATCTCTTTGTCTGTCTATCCGTCTCTCTCTCCTCTCTCTCTCTCTCTCTGTCTTTGTCTGTCTGTCTGTCTGTCTGTCTGTCTGTCTGTCTGTCTGTCTGTCTGTCTGTCTGTCTGTCTGTCTGTCTGTCTGTCTGTCTGTCTGTCTGTCTGTCTGTCTGTCTGTCTGTCTGTCTGTCTGTCTGTCTGTCTGTCTGTCTGTCTGTCTGTCTCTCTGTCTCTCTCTCTCTCTCTGTCTGTCTGTCTGTCTGTCTGTCTGTCTGTCTGTCTGTCTGTCTGTCTGTCTGTCTGTCTGTCTGTCTGCCTGTCTGCCTGCCTGCCTGCCTGTCTGCCTGTCTGTCTGTCTGTCTGTCTGTCTGTCTGTCTGTCTGTCTGTCTGTCTGTCTCTCTCTCTCTCTCTCTCTCTCTCTCTCTCTCTCTCTCTCTCTCTCTCTCTCTCTCTCTCTCTCTCAGAGGCAGTCTAAACATATGACCACTGGGTAGGTTGTATATTTCCTTTATTCTGAAATGTTCTATCCATCTGTCCACTTGTACTACAGGTAACATAACTGTGACTGTCCTTTGTGTTTCAGAAATAAAGCCATTGCAGACTATCTCTACTCGAATGGGTTCCAAGGTGCACTGGAGCATTTCCAGAAAGAAGCTGGACTGGTAAGTTTGATTCCTACTCCATTATTTGTTTGATATTTCTGCACTCAGTGTCAATAGATTCAAGTATTTCACTCTCCTGAAACATCAGAAATCTAGTACTGAATTGACACATCCAGCCTGTTCTGTTGTATGGCAGTGAATCTTGGAATGTGAGCAAGCAAGTTAAGAATAATTTAGAGACAAACTGGGATGTGCTTGTTGAGAAGAATGTTGCAACAGGAAGAGACTGATACATTTTTAGTACATACCACGAGGTGGTTCCCTTCACACTCATGCTTGTTGCTGAGTTTATTGAGCCGTGGACTTTTAATTACTGATGCTTTCATCACAGCACCCTTTCTCCATCATCCTTTGTCCCTTGTTGTAGCAAAAGGCTTCACCCAACCGTCACCAAGCCACCCTCTCCCATCTTGTCCACTGTTCTGTAGTTCACTACATCTCTGCTTCCTCCAGTCTTAAACATCTCTGTCACTGATTCTCCATTTGAGTTTAGCCTTCAGTTGATGTGTTAAACCCTGTGGTACAAGGACACATTTTTGGGAATTAATATCGGGTCGTCTAAGTGGGTATTTTATTCACAGCTACAGTCTTCTCACTCTCAGTTCACTGGAATTTTAGCTTCTTCCTAAAGCTTGGCGTTAATGATTCTGTCATGCGATTTAACTTCCTCTTTTCTGCACAAGTAACAGTTAATGAATGTTAATAGTTTATTAGTTAGATTGGGGGTCATGTGGCGAAGTGGTCAAGCTGTTTCCCTCACAGCCTGAAGGTCATGGGTGTGGTTCGCATTATGTTATTCAGTCCCTGAGAGTGCAGAGTTTGAAATGAAGATCCATGGGAATCATCAAAGGTACTTGGTAATCTTAGTTTAAGCTTTATAGCAAACGTGTCACCCCATAGTTGCTCCGCTCTGGTGCCAACGAAAAACATACAGAATGTTCATCAAAGTCCCTTGTGGAAAGAGTGACAAGACTGCTGCCTCAGTATATGCACTAGCATACACACGTATTAATAGCATACGGTAGCCCTTAGAAGTGCTAACACAAACAGTCCGACATTAGAAAAGCAGTTCATCATCGACGGTAGAAGAGGTGGCCAACAAATCAGCAGTTACACACGTGATCATTTTTAATCACATAAGGGCACCACCAATATTGCAATGACAGGCCATGCGCCATTTTCTGAATCTACAATTCACAACACTACGTTGGTCACAATAAAAAACTATTCCAAATGAAATCTGCAGCTCACAGGGTCGCACCATCTCAGAAGCTGGGCGCCGAAACTATATCCGTTCAGTCTACAAATGGAGCAAAAATGCAATGGCAGAAGCAAAAAATATGCTTGTAGTTGTCTAGTAATAAACCTAGAAACATGGTCAGTAATTGGATGATTTGAATGCTTGTAGTTGTCTAGTAATAAACCCAGAAACATGGTCAGTAATTGGATAATTTGAATGCTTGTAGTTGGTAATAAACCTAGAAACATGGTCAGTGATTTGATGATTTGAATGTAGTTGTCTAGTAATAAACCCAGAAACATGGTCAGTAATTGGATGATTTGAATGCTTGTAGTTGTCTAGTAATAAACCTAGAAACATGGTCAGTGATTGGATGATTTGAATGCTTGTAGTTGTCTAGTAATAAACCTAGAAACATGGTCAGTAATTGGATGATTTGAATGCTTGTAGTTGTCTAGTAATAAACCCAGAAACATGGTCAGTGATTGGATGATTTGAAACATGGTCAGTAATTGGATGATTTGAATGCTTGTAGTTGTCTAGTAATAAACCTAGAAACATGGTCAGTGATTGGATGATTTGAATGCTTGTAGTTGTCTAGTAATAAACCCAGAAACATGGTCAGTAATTGGATGATTTGAATGCTTGTAGTTGTCTAGTAATAAACCTAGAAACATGGTCAGTGATTGGATGATTTGAATGCTTGTAGTTGTCTAGTAATAAACCTAGAAACATGGTCAGTAATTGGATAATTTGAATGCTTGTAGTTGTCTAGTAATAAACCCAGAAACATGGTCAGTGATTGGACTGTAATATTCTGATGTCACCTGCTTGTTTCCAGTCACCAGAGATAGAGAAGAAGTTCAGTGGCCTGCTGGAAAAGCGATGGACGTCAGTCATCAGGCTCCAGAAGAAGGTGAGATTGATGTTTGTTAAAGTTTGGTGAATGTATAGACACAGTCAGCAGTAATACACTGCTAAGAAGCATTGAGGTTGCTGTAGAGAAATTCCTGACCATTCTTGTGTTGGATAAAGGAACAGTCTTGATGTAGAATTTTGTGGCTCTCTGGGTTTGAGGTCATTGAAATTGATTCACAATGTAATCCTCAGGGTGGATTCCAGCAGTAAGCAGGTTAGAAAATACTGTTCTTATGGCTGTCAGACAGTTGTATGATAGTTGCCCTGTGGAAAAGGTTGAGGCCTCTTCATGTGCTTTTCTCATTGTTAACATTGGATATACTGCTGCCAACTTCAGTTGTGGCGATAGCATAATACAGAAAAGAGAAAGTGTGGAATGAGCTGTATTCTTCCACATTTTATCTCCTAATGTTTCTGTGGGGGTTCCAGAGCTCAAGTTCTCAGGGGAACAAATAATTGACCCACTGCTCCTTAAGAAGCATGCCATAAGAGGCTGCTGGTTAACACTGTGTATTTTACTGCTGTATGTTTTACCACTTTTTAGGCAGTGTAGAGGGAGGGGGGGGCGTGGGGGTGGGGCACCCTGAGCCTGAGGATTCAGGGCTGCCTGGGCTAGAGCTGTCAAATCAGACTGTGTAGGTTATGATCTTTAATTGGGCCCTCTACAGAAAAACTCCATCACCTTATGGGGAGTCGAACCTGGGTCTTCTGCATGAGAACCTGGTTTGCTGAAATCAGATGTGTTAGACCAAAAGGCAGAGATATATCCCATACTAGCTGTAAACCACAACAGAATGTGCCAACAACCCTTTTTAATGCAAACACAGAAAAAGAATAAGGATCTCCCATTCAAACATAGTTGTTCAGCCAGCTCACATCGAGCCTTTTGTAAACTTGCTCAGGATTAGTTGGATTTTGCAGTTTCCTTTAGGACAAGGTGGTAAACGGTTTCAAAATTCTCAACTCATGGAAGACTGAAGCTGGAGATAACTACCTGAGAGTAAAACACCTATGACACTTGTGCAGTTTGCTTTTTTTGAAAAGTTCCCCTTACTGAATTTTTTTGAGTATGTAAGATTGCTGATTTTTTGCCTTGACTCTGTGTCTGTTTAATTTTCATGTACTGCAAATAAAAGAAAATAAAAACTAGATGTTTTCTTTTTTTTTTCACATTAAAAAAAATTCTTACAGTGACACGATTATTAACAGGTTGCATGCCAAATTTCACAGAACGGTTACTGAGTTACACATTTTTAAAGTTGGGCGTGATTTCTGGAATGGACTGTAGTTATGTTTACTGGTTTTCTCAGTGTGTGTCCCATCTTATTCTCCCTGCTTTACTGTAATTTTATTAGTTCTATCACTGAGCTTCACATCAGTGATTCTGTCTTCATCTTAGTTAGTGATCACACATAACTCAGATTTTCTACCGTCCAGTCATGTTATGAATATTTCTGCCACAGACCTGTACTTAAAGATAAGTGATTTTTGTGTATTCTAGTTTGTAATTGTATCATTGTCTGTTTGTCTCATATGTTGTGTCATTAGTGATTGTGGTAATGCCAATCTGACTAGTTCCACTTCTCGTTAGTTAGATTGATATCTTGACATAATCTTGCAGGTGATGGACCTGGAGACCAAACTCACAGAGGCAGAAGAGGAGGTCAACAGTGGCGCCCCCACGCGAGACCGCCGCCAGCCAGGAGAGTGGATCCCTAGGCCACCAGAACGTTATTGCCTGAGTGGACATCGCAGTCCGGTGACAAGGGTTGTGTTCCACCCATACTACAGTGTCATGGTCTCATGCAGTGAGGATGCTACCATCAGGGTGAGAATAGTCCTCTGTGTTGAACGAGTGGCTTGCTGAGCTGTCACAATGCTGTTCTAACAAAAGACTTCGGGTTTGAATCCTCACTAGGGTAATGGATCTTTTGGTTCTTTTTAGGATGTCCAGCCCAAACACACACACACTGGTTGACCTTTGATTCATGCTTGCTCAGGCTAGTCTGTGTTACAGGGGTGTCACATTATATTGCCTTTGCAAAGCTTTCTGCGTTGTGTGTTACTCGTTGTGAGCAGTACATTGCGTTTTTACTTGTTGTGAGCAGTGACTTTGCGTATATTATAACGTTCTCGGACTTGAAATACAACATGAAATTACTGACCACAAAATGTTAACATTCTGATACCAAGGGTCGTAGACTGAAGCTGTGTGGTTAGGGTTAGGGCCAGTTCTAGATATGGGGTTGTTAAAAGCGGTCTTATTGTCTAATATAGTGATAGCACCGGAGACAAAACAACTTTGTTTATCATTATGACTGCCTCATCTGAATTGTCACTGATAAGCATTCAGGCCTCTCTGCATCAACATCAACAGGATTCTGCTCCCAGCAACTCCTGTCAAGGGCAACAACATATGAGTGAATGTTGGAGGCAGGCAGAGGTATCTATTCCCTGCTGATTTATAAGTCTTCCATTTGTAAGCCATTCATGTTCACTTATTTAGAGGAGTGACTGGCCAAGCGGTTTCAGTGTCGAGCTCTCAAACTATAGACTCAAGTTCGACCTCCAGAAAGGTGATGGAGTTTTTCTGTCGGGGGCAACAAAAAGCATCCTAACCTGCACAGTCCTGCACTAGCCATGCGGCCCTAAATCCTTAGGCCCCACCATGCCCCCACCCCACCCTTCTCTCTACTTCGCCCTAACAAATGGTAAATACAGACAGTAGTGGCATTTTTGGGGTTAAAGTGTTAAATTGCTTAGTAGTCATCAGAATGCTGGGCTGATATCTTAAGTTGGGATCATTAGCAATAAACACTTGGTTCAAATATTATAGTATTATTTTTTCTCCATCTCTTTCTCTTGACCTGCTCTCTTCTTCACCCCTCTGTCTTTTCCGTATGTATCAACGGAACTTATATTGAGTGTTCTGGTGTAAACAACTTGATTGTGTTGACTCCTACAGGTATGGGATTATGAATCTGGTGACTACGAGAGATCTCTGAAGGGTCACACTGATTCTGTGCAGGATGTTGCTTTTGACAGTTCTGGAAAGTTTCTGGGTAATGTTGACTTGACATTTGTGTTCGTCTTTGAGTCTGTTTGTGTTTTTGACATAGAAGTTGTAAGCAGCTTTGAGCCTGAGGAATGAACTGAGGAAGGTTTGGTTTGAAAGAATTCAAGGAGGAGCATGTAAACTATCAGGAAAATGATATCTGTGAAAGCTTATGAGTGGGTGCGTGCATGAGAGAGAGACACACAGACACAGGGAGGAAGGGAGAGAGAGAGAAAAAAGAGGTGCGAAAGGAGGGAGTTAAAAAAATCGTTGAAAATAAACATTTAGATGGGATATTGAAGTACTTTTTTCCTGTTTGTCTTACTTTGTGTCAAACCCCCCCTGTCCCCCCCCCCCCCTTTTTTTTTCTTGACCTCCTCCCCTGTTCTCTTCTGTCTTTCCTAGTTCTGAATTCTTCATTCTGTCTTCACTCCCTTGCATTCTATCTCTTTCTTGTCTCCATCTTTTTCAACTCTCCCTTTCTCCAGCTTCTCTGCCTCCTATTCTCTCACTCTTCTTGGCTCCAACATATCTACATCTTTCCCTTCTTTTCTATCTATAACTATTCCCAGTCTGTACACATCTCTCCCTCTCTCCTTTCTCCTTACTTTCTTTTCTCCTCTCCATGTTTTTAACTCCTCCAACTAATCCTCCTTCCCTCCCTTTCTAAACCTTTGGACATATTTGAATAAACTGTTCTCTCCTGACCTGACAGTCTGCTACTAACTAGTGTTCTAGATGGGAACACACATTCATTATAATGAATGAAGCCACCAGTAAGAGAAGGGAACACACATTCATTATAATGAATGAAGCCACCAGTAAGAGAAGGGAACACACATTCATTATAATGAATGAAGCCACCAGTAAGAGAAGGGAACACACATTCATTATAATGAATGAAGCCACCAGTAAGAGATGGGAACACACATTCATTATAATGAATGAAGCCACCAGTAAGAGATGGGAACACACATTCATTATAATGAATGAAGCCACCAGTAAGAGAAGGGAACACACATTCATTATAATGAATGAAGCCACCAGTAAGAGAAGGGAACACACATTCATTATAATGAATGAAGCCACCAGTAAGAGAAGGGAACACACATTCATTATAATGAATGAAGCCACCAGTAAGAGAAGGGAACACACATTCATTATAATGAATGAAGCCACCAGTAAGAGAAGGGAACACACATTCATTATAATGAATGAAGCCACCAGTAAGAGAAGGGAACACACATTCATTATAATGAATGAAGCCACCAGTAAGAGAAGGGAACACACATTCATTATAATGAATGAAGCCACCAGTAAGAGAAGGGAACACACATTCATTATAATGAATGAAGCCACCAGTAAGAGAAGGGAACACACATTCATTATAATGAATGAAGCCACCAGTAAGAGAAGGGGAACACACATTCATTATAATGAATGAAGCCACCAGTAAGAGAAGGGAACACACATTCATTATAATGAATGAAGCCACCAGTAAGAGAAGGGAACACACATTCATTATAATGAATGAAGCCACCAGTAAGAGAAGGGAACACACATTCATTATAATGAATGAAGCCACCAGTAAGAGAAGGGAACACACATTCATTATAATGAATGAAGCCACCAGTAAGAGAAGGGAACACACATTCATTATAATGAATGAAGCCACCAGTAAGAGAAGGGAACACACATTCATTATAATGAATGAAGCCACCAGTAAGAGAAGGGAACACACATTCATTATAATGAATGAAGCCACCAGTAAGAGAAGGGAACACACATTCATTATAATGAATGAAGCCACCAGTAAGAGAAGGGAACACACATTCATTATAATGAATGAAGCCACCAGTAAGAGAAGGGAACACACATTCATTATAATGAATGAAGCCACCAGTAAGAGAAGGGAACACACATTCATTATAATGAATGAAGCCACCAGTAAGAGAAGGGAACACACATTCATTATAATGAATGAAGCCACCAGTAAGAGAAGGGAACACACATTCATTATAATGAATGAAGCCACCAGTAAGAGAAGGGAACACACATTCATTATAATGAATGAAGCCACCAGTAAGAGAAGGGAACACACATTCATTATAATGAATGAAGCCACCAGTAAGAGAAGGGAACACACATTCATTATAATGAATGAAGCCACCAGTAAGAGAAGGGAACACACATTCATTATAATGAATGAAGCCACCAGTAAGAGAAGGGAACACACATTCATTATAATGAATGAAGCCACCAGTAAGAGAAGGGAACACACATTCATTATAATGAATGAAGCCACCAGTAAGAGAAGGGAACACACATTCATTATAATGAATGAAGCCACCAGTAAGAGAAGGGAACACACATTCATTATAATGAATGAAGCCACCAGTAAGAGAAGGGAACACACATTCATTATAATGAATGAAGCCACCAGTAAGAGAAGGGAACACACATTCATTATAATGAATGAAGCCACCAGTAAGAGAAGGGAACACACATTCATTATAATGAATGAAGCCACCAGTAAGAGAAGGGAACACACATTCATTATAATGAATGAAGCCACCAGTAAGAGAAGGGAACACACATTCATTATAATGAATGAAGCCACCAGTAAGAGAAGGGAACACACATTCATTATAATGAATGAAGCCACCAGTAAGAGAAGGGAACACACATTCATTATAATGAATGAAGCCACCAGTAAGAGAAGGGAACACACATTCATTATAATGAATGAAGCCACCAGTAAGAGAAGGGAACACACATTCATTATAATGAATGAAGCCACCAGTAAGAGAAGGGAACACACATTCATTATAATGAATGAAGCCACCAGTAAGAGAAGGGAACACACATTCATTATAATGAATGAAGCCACCAGTAAGAGAAGGGAACACACATTCATTATAATGAATGAAGCCACCAGTAAGAGAATGCTGTAACCTAAGATTTGTTTTCATGCATTCGTTTTTCCTCCTTTCAGTTTCCTGCTCTGCAGACATGACTATTAAACTCTGGGATTTTAATGGATACGAGTGTACTAAAACCATGTTTGGTGAGTGCATTGAGCGTATGACCTCACATTTATTGCAGCACATATTGTTATTCATGGAGGTTAACATACATGATTCCCCGTATAGGTTCCGGGGCCTTATTTTGGGGAAAACAAGCATGTCATAAATTAACTAACTGGGGGTTTTCTTCAAAGTCGGAGTGCATCTGCCTAAGAGGCAAGGAACCAACAGTCTGCATACAGATGGTCAGATCTGTAAAATGGATGTGCACACAAAACTCACGTTCTGGAACAAGACTAAAGTCCAGAGGTAGATGAAAAACTAAAACTTTCTGCCGGAGTTTACAGCCGGTGAATGCAAAGAAGAAGAAAAAATACATAATTACAGGTGGGCTAGGTTTGACATAGATGCAGCTTTCTAGAGATGTAGTTTTAATAATGACAACACAACAGACACACTTGTGTTGGCCTCATTGGGAGAAAGACAAAACTGGAGTTTACAGTGTTGGCCTCATTGGGAGAAAGACAAAACTGGAGTTTACAGTGTTGGCCTCATTGGGAGAAGGGAAAAACTGGAGTATGCTGTGTTGGCCTCATTGAGAGGAGGCACAAACTGGAGTATGCAGTGTTAGCCTCATTCAGAGAAGGGAAAAACTGGAGTATGCAGTGTTGGCCTCATTGAGAGAAAGGAAAAACTGGAGTATGCAGTGTTGGCCTCATTGAGAGAAAGGAAAAACTGGAGTATGCAGTGTTGGTCTCATTGAGAGAAGGCACAAACTGGAGTATGCAGTGTTGGCCTCATTGAGAGGAGGCACAAACTGGAGTATGCAGTGTTAGCCTCATTCAGAGAAGGGAAAAACTGGAGTATGCAGTGTTGGCCTCATTGAGAGAAAGGAAAAACTGGAGTATGCAGTGTTGGCCTCATTGAGAGAAAGGAAAAACTGGAGTATGCAGTGTTGGTCTCATTGAGAGAAGGCACAAACTGGAGTATGCAGTGTTGGCCTCATTGAGAGAAGGCACAAACTGGAGTATGCAGTGTTGGCCTTGTTGAGAGAAGGCACAAACTGGAGTATGCAGTGTTGGCCTCATTGAGAGAAGGCACAAACTGGAGTATGCAGTGTTGGCCTCATTGAGAGAAGGCACAAACTGGAGTATGCAGTGTTGGCCTCATTGAGAGAAGGCACAAACTGGAGTATGCAGTGTTGGCCTCATTGAGAGAAGGCACAAACTGGAGTATGCAGTGTTGGCCTTATTGAGAAAAGAGAAAACTGGATTATTCAATGTATGCAGAGTGGCAGGGTAAGACCAAGAGATGCTAGACAGTTTGCCATGATGGCTGAGTGGATCATCTATGTCAGAAATGATTGAAAGTACACGAGACAGAAGGCTGTGGACACATTGTGACTACCAGTACAATGCTGGTTTGACCTGTTGCAGTTAGTAACTTTTATTTAGTTCTTTACCCTAACAGTAAAATCAGATCATCATCATTGTCATTGTCAGAGTTAATTCTGATAGAGCATTCCTTATATGGCAGTGAATGGGAAATTGAACGATTGCTAGAAAAATTGGTGGGGAGGACTGATGAAGACCTAGACAAATTTGAAGGAAAGTTGACTAGGAAGAAGGCAGAAGTTATCTTAAGTACCAGAACGTTTAGTTGGGCAATTTCACGATAATGACAGTCTCATTGAACGTAAACAACGTGTGAGAGCATTAGTGTTATGAAACAGCACAAATACTAAGGGTTATTTGATTAAGTAGCCATGTTTTTATAGTATTACTAGGCTAAATGTAAGAAAGGGTTAAAGGACCACAGTGTAGGAAAGTTGAAGGCCAGAAAACTTAGTTTACACAACGACATCTGACATTGAAGGATGTATGCATTGAGGGGAGAAGATGTGGAGGCAATGAGACTAGCATCAAGGCCAATTCATCACTGAGTGGCATGACAGCTGGAGCGCCAGAAACATAGATTAAAACGCTGGTCAGAGAACACCACACAAAATACAGACAAGAAGAAGATAATTATCTTTCCGTCAGATGAAGTGAGATGAGACGAATCGAGAATCCACAGTGCTGGGTATGCCAGGTCGAAGGAGGGCAGAGAGGTGACAGATCACTCACGCCTCGAGGGGAATGAGATAACAAGAGGAGGAGAAGGAGAAAGATAAGAACAAGCTGAGCAAGAAGGCAGACAGTTAGTTAGGCCGAGGATGTTGAGCTGAGAAGTGAATGATAACGGTAGCTTATGAAAATAGTATTTTATTGTATGGTCAAGAGTTAAACGAAATATAAAGAAAATATAAAACTTATTAGGAATAACTGAGATGTACCTAAAAGAGAACACAGCATAAACTTCGTTAGGAGAAAGTCAGGTTTACTTCATGTAAGAAGTACTTGTGAAGCTTATTTTTACAGCAACTTATACTGAAGTGTTCGATATCATTGTAATTAAATGAAATTATCACCGTATTTGAATTGACATTGTGTTTGTATAATAAACAATCTTAAATCTATATGATTTGTTCGATTGCTGGTTGTGTTATGAAACACTAGAGACATACTGAGACCATCTAATCACTCGTTCCGTTAGGCAGGCTCATTCCTGGGGGTCATGGAAAACTAGATAGTGTCACATAAAACACTAGATAACATCTTTAATGGTTTGGTACCTGATGGGCAATACCTCATCACACATGGTGCATTCAATGTTCAGGACCGAACAAGTTAATTGAATCATAAGAATTCTTCTTCTTCTTTTTCGCGTTCACCAGCTGTAAACTCTGGCAGAAAGTTCTGGTTGTTCACCCACTTCTGGACTGTAGTCCTGTTCCAGAACCTGAGTGTTGCATGTGCATCCGTTTTACAGATCTGACTCATTTGTATGCAGACTGCTGGTTCCTTGCCTCTCAGGCTGATGCACTCTGACTTCGAAGCAAGCTCCCAATTAGTCGACTCTTACTACATGCTTTTGGGTAGGCAGTGGGTTTATTCTTGTTTCCCCCCTATAATAGGACCCCGGAACCCACACTAGGATCATAAGAAGTAAAAATGTTTTTTTTTGGAAATGTTTGACACGTAACACCATAACCAGGAGGATTTGTCTCTCTTCCTTGATCAGGTCATGACCACAATGTGTCCAGCGTGACCTTCATGCCGTCTGGTGACTTTGTTTTATCATCGTCCCGAGATAAAACCATCAAGATGTGGGATGTGGCCACTGGGTAACATAGGCTTTTTCTCTCTCTTTATATAAGCTTTTATAAAGCTGACTTTTGTATATATGTCTGGTCAAAACTTTGCCTTCGATCTTTACACTGTTTTCTGATAAGCTTTCAAGCTCAGTTAAAAAAAAAACAAACTTATATGCTTGAATTCCAAGCGCACAAAATCATGGGTGGCCATATTCGCACATGTTGCTAAGGGCGCTAAGAACAGTGACGTATGTTAGTGGCAAAAACATTGAATAATTAATAATTATGCAGAATCTAACAAGACATCAACTTTCCTGCAGCACTCAACGTTGGAATACGTTGCCATCCTGTGTTAGGACTGATGAATGGTTTGTTGTAAGGGATCAAAAACAGTTACAGTACGTGATTTTCTGGCCTTGAAATAATCACGATAGCTAGCGTGGCCATACCAGAAGCGGAATCCTCCCCTATCCTATCCATCTTTCATGTGAAAATAAAATCACAGCAACCCGCCACTTTTTGATGGTGACAAGTCTAGTTGAACGGTTGCTGTTAACTCTTGCAGCCCCAGTTTACTGAGAATCACCATTATTGCAGTTCATGAAATCTTTGCTAAAATTGTTTTATATTTTAACAGTCTATATACTACACACAGAAGTTACCATTGTTAGTAAACTCTGACCAAATCAACAGAGTCAAACATTATATTTTGTGATTGTTTGGGAGTCATGGGGAAAATTCAGTTACACAGCACACATTGTTTGAGGCTAAAAGAGTTAACCACATCAGCAACCTCATTTCTTTTTCTCACTGTTTGCTAGTATTTCCACCTAGCTTTCCTTCCTTCCTTCTTCTATTTTTATTTTGTCAGCATCTGCTGTGTTTTGCAGTTTAACAGATCATAGGTAGCTGAGCCGGGGCGCATGCTTAGTATACTGTGAAATTGTGAAGTCTTATGTTGTCACTGGCTCCTTTGGTCCATCTTCTGGGTTCACTCTGCCTCTTGGTGGTTTGATTTCATGTTGTACGCTCTCGCTGCTGGCATTCTTGGATTCGTTTTAATTAGAGGGTCGAACTATTTCAGTCCTTGTTTGTCGACAAATTTAACAATGAGTTTTGTTCCAGTACTTCGGATTTCTACATTTCTCACATTGAATCTCTTCTGGTTTTGTTTGCAGCTGTTCTGAAGCATATCCGCCACTTTATCAGTATAATTATACAACATGGGATTGTTTTTATGGCTAAAACCACAGATCTTACTGGCAAGCAAACATACACACGAATCAGAATTATATTTCTGTCTGCAGCTACTGTGTGAAAACTTACACAGGCCACAGGGAATGGGTTCGAATGGTCAAGGTTTATCAAGATGGATCCCTGCTAGCCAGTTGTTCAAATGATCAGGTAAATATATTCTTCAGATTGGTGTACTTCTCTTTCAGCCTGTCCCAGTCCCTTGCTCTATGTACCTGACTCCCTTCCTGTCTTGTTACCAGTCTTTGACCCTGTCTATCAGTATATAGAAGAGGTCTGTTATTTTAGTGAACATTGATGGGTCTGCTATTTTAATAAACATTGATGGGTCTGTTATTTTAGTGAACACTGATGGGTCTGTTATTTTAGTGAACTTTGATGGGTCTGTTATTTTAGTGAACATTGATGGGTCTGTTATTTTATTTTAGTGAACTTTGATGATAGGTCTGTTATTTTAGTGAACATTGATGGGTCTGTTATTTTAGTGAACATTGATAGGTCTGTTATTTTAGTGAACATTGATGGGTCTGTTATTTTAGTGAACACTGATGGGTCTTATTTTAGTGAACATTAAAGGGTCTATTATCTTAATAAAGTAAGTCTGTTATTTTAGTAAACTTTGATGGGTCTGTTATTTTATTGAACTTTGGTAAGTCTATTATTTTAGTGAACATTGATGGGTCTATTATTCTAGTGAACATTGATGGGTCGTTAATTTTAGTGAACATTGATGGGTCTGTTATTTTAGTGAACATTGATGGGTCTGTTATTTTAGTAAACATTGATGGGTCTGTTATTTTAGTAAACATTGATGGGTCGGTTATTTTAGTGAACATTGATGGGTCTGTTATTTTAGTAAACATTGATGGGTCTGTTATTTTAGTGAACTTTGATGGGTCTGTTATTTTTTTTTAACTTTGGTAAGTCTGTTATTTTAATGAGCTTTGATGGGTCTGTTTTTTTAGCAAAAATTGATGGGTCTGTTATTTTATTGAACTTTGGTAAGTCTGTTTTTTTAGTGAACTTTGATGGGTCTGTTATTTTACTGAACTTTGGTAAGTCTGTTATTATAGTGAACATTGGTGGATCTGTTATTTTAATGAGCATTGATGGGTCTGCTAATTTAGTGAACATTGCTCAAGTATTTCTCACTGGCTAGGTTAAATATATATGTATTCATAGTAATCTGGTAATCTGGTAATCCTAGTTTCAGCTTCATAGCAAACGGGTCACCCCACAGTTCGAATATATTCATAGTGCTGATGTCTATGTGATTACACTTTTAATCGATTGTGTTGGTTTCACAATGGGTATACAGAGATTTTAAATTGATTGTATTGGGTTATGTATGATTATGCTGAGTTAGTAAATTGATTCTGTTGTTGTCCCTGTAACTTTACTGAGTTTGTAAATTGATTCTGTTGTTGTCCCTGTAACTTTACTGAGTTAGTAAATTGATTCTGTTGTTGTCCCTGTAACTTTACTGAGTTAGTAATTTGATTCTGTTTTTGTCCCTGTAACTTTACTGAGTTTGTAAATTGATTCTGTTGTTGTCACTGTAACTTTACTGAGTTTGTAAATTGATTCTGTTGTTGTCCCTGTAACTTTACTGAGTCAGTAAATTGATTCTGTTTTTGTCCCTGTAACTTTACTGAGTTAGTAAATTGATTCTGTTGTTGTCCCTGTAACTTTACTGAGTTTGTAAATTGATTCTGTTGTTGTCCCTGTAACTTTACTGAGTTAGTAAATTGATTCTGTTGTTGTCCCTGTAACTTTACTGAGTTAGTAAATTGATTCTGTTGTTGTCCCTGTAACTTTACTGAGTTAGTAATTTGATTCTGTTTTTGTCCCTGTAACTTTACTGAGTTAGTAAATTGATTCTGTTTTTGTCCCTGTAACTTTACTGAGTTAGTAAATTGATTCTGTTTTTGTCCCTGTAACTTTACTGAGTTAGTAAATTGATTCTGTTTTTGTCCCTGTAACTTTACTGAGTTAGTAAATTGATTCTGTTGTTGTCCCTGTAACTTTAATGAGTTAGTAAATTGATTCTGTTGTTGTCCCTGTAACTTTACTGAGTTTGTAAATTGATTCTGTTGTTGTCCCTGTAACTTTAATGAGTTAGTAAATTGATTCTGTTGTTGTCCCTGTAACTTTACTGAGTTTGTAAATTGATTCTGTTGTTGTCCCTGTAACTTTACTGAGTTTGTAAATTAATTGTGTAGTTGTCCCTGTAACTTTACTGAGTTTGTAAATTAATTGTGTAGTTGTCCCTGTAGCTTTACTGAGTTAGTAAATTAATTAATTGGTTTCTCTCTGGTCAGACTGTTCGTGTGTGGGTAACGGCCACCAAGGAATGTAAAGCTGAGCTTCGGGAACACGAACACGTGGTGGAGTGTATAGCCTGGGCTCCAGACTCTGCCCAGCCCGCCATCAATGAAGCTTCAGGGACAGAGGTATGAGACCTTGTGTTAACATCACTACTGCCTGGTTACATTTATGTTATTGATAGCCAGTTTCTGCATTTGGTTATGAATTCTGGGCAATTAGTAAATATCATCATCATCAAGTGCCTTGCCAGCTGGCTAAGGTATTCATGCATCTCCACAAATCTCGGTCCTTGGTGCTCTGAATCAATTCCACTGATGATATTTCTCCATGCTACTGACTTAAACAAAGGACATGTAATTGACAAGGACAGAGCTTTTTGTGTGGTTTGCCATATACCGAACAGGTGACTGCTGAGAATGGCTGAAGCTTTAACAATTAACAATCAAAATCAACCCCCTCCTTTGTAAGAAGACATAATTTATAGTAAATAAGTTACCTGGTAGGCCACCTGACTGCAATGAACTTCAATTGACTAGATAAACACGATGCATCAAAAGAAACCATTAGCATTTCAGTTGGATTTATTCTGTTTTTTTTTAAATGCTGCATTATACAGTGAAATATGCCTGGCAGTAAATTGTGCAGTGTGTTGTTTATGTCCGGATTATTTAAATTCATTACAGGAAAACATTGTTTTGAATTAGTGAGCAAGCAAATGAATTTCTTGCGGCTACAGAGGTGTGGTTTTACAGATGAATACTTAATCTTTTCTTGAACAGCCAAATAAGTATTCTAGAGGGTTTGTAAGTGGTTCAGACACCAACACAAATCCAGGCATGACCCCCACTTCCCCCTTGAGTATATGGCAAGACCCCTCTGTCCTCTTGAGTATATGGCATGACCCCTACTCTTCACTTGAGCATATGACAAGACTCCCACGCCCTCTTGAGTATATGACAAGCCCCCCACTCTTCCCTTGAGTAGTTGGCAAGACCCCTATGTCCTCTTGAGTATATGGCATGACCCCTACTCTTCACTTGTGCATATGACAAGACAACAATGCCCTCTTGAGTAGATGACAAGCCCCAACTCTTCCCTTGCGTATTTGGCAAACCCCCAATCTCCCCTAAAGTACATGGCAAAACCCCACTCCCCCCAACTCTCCTCTTGAGTATGTGGCTAACCCGCACACCCCCTTGAGTATATGGCATGACCCCCCACTCTTCCCTTCAGTATATAGCATGACCCCTACTCTCCCCTTAAGTACATGGCAAGACCCCACTCCCCCTGACTATCCCCTTGAGTATGTGGCTAACCCGCACACCCCCTTGAGTATATGGCAAGACCCCCGTGCATTCTTGAGGATATGACAAGACCCCCACTATCCCCTTGAGTATTTGGCAAACCTCCACTCTTCCCTTGAGTATATGGTTCTAATACCCCATGCACCCTTGAGTATTTGGCACGACCTCCACTCTTCTTTTTAATATAAGGCATACCTCCACGCACAGCTTGACTTTATTGCAACCTCTTCCCCACCCCACCCTCGCCTACTCCCCCCCTCCCTCCCTCCTACCCCATTATAACAGTATGTGATTTAAAAGAGGAGGTCACATGATTTCATAACAAGGGAGAAACAAAAAAAAGTATGGTGTTAAATTTTGGTCAGAATGTGTTCTCAATCTGTAATTAAATGCATGTGTTATCATTTTAATTAGATTTTTAACATTAGATTACAAACTGCTCATTAAAACAAAAAGGTCCTGAATGGTTTGTTTAATTAATATTACAAAACATTATTTATAAATAAAATAAATCAAAATGTAAGTATAGCTAATTATTACAAATACAAAAGCACTCACTTTAAAAATTACTTATCTCCCCCCCCCCCTCCCCCCCCTCCCCCAAACCCTCCTGCGTCCCTTTAGGGGGTATGTTTCCAAGGTTGGAGACCACCGCTGTAAAGAAGAAAAATCTGGCCATCCAGTCTGTCAGAAGTGAACAGAATCAGGCCAGTGACGGCAAGCACTTTCTTGACCTCAGGACAGGGCATCATAAACTTAACAAGCATTGGCAAGGCTTCATTGGAGTAGTGCACTGCTATGCCTTTGTCTTCTGTGTAGAAGATGTCCTGCAAGACAACACATTAAGAAGGCAATACTGGTCCAGTGAGTTAACACCACACTGGACGCACAATTTGCTAAAGAACTAACAAAAAAACAAAACAAAAGGTCAATTGTATCATAAGAAGTCATTTCTTGGTGTAAATCATGGATGCAATCACAAGAAGAAGAAATCTTATATCAGATCTGGTGATCAAAGATTTGAATACACAAAGATATGGAAAGAGGTCCTTACCTTGTTTATATTGACTATTATATATTGTTTGGTGATTTCTTTAAATTGATCGCCTTTTTAATTGACCTCATGTATGTGTGCGTCTTGAACTTTGCTGTTTCAGGCGAAGAGTGCCAAGCGTTCTGGGCCATTCCTGATATCTGGCTCTAGAGATAAGACATTGAAGATGTGGGATGTGAGCGTTGGGCTTTGTCTATTTACATTGGTGAGTTTGTTTACAAGTTTGTTTTTATTGTACATGGATTCCAGGTCACTGTGGCTTGGAAGGCAATGAAATAGCAGACAGATTGGCCAGAAGCGGCAGTGACATGGTACAACCAAATAGCGACTTAACCCACCAAGAGATGAAAACACTAATACAATCTAGTATCCAAGAAAGGTGGCTGGATACCCACACCAGATTTTCTCCCCAAGACTCACTTCATCGCCTCTCTAGAGAGGGACAGTCTATTATATTCAGACTAAGGACAGGACACAACAGATTTCGCCAACATATGTTCAAATTTTTCGGTGTAGGAAATACGGAGACGTGTCCCTGCAGCGTGGCACCCGAAAATGCTGAGCATGTGCTCCAACACTGTCAACTGTATGCTGACAACAGAGACGCAATCTGGCCTGTTCCAACCACAATGAAGACAAAACTGTATGGTACACAAGAGGATATGGATTGCACGATAGCTTTCATAAAGGCTACCGGCCTCCTGATATAAGTTTTCTGACAGAAGGATCGAAGAAGAAGAAGAAGAAGTACATTGGTTGTTTTTATCCCCCATTGTACATTAGACGTATACAATCTACATTTGGTTTATCATGAGAAAAGGGCAGCTGAAGTGTGTTTTAATGATGGGAGAGTTGGAGTGAAGGAGACGATCTACATTTGGTTTATCATGAGAAAAGGTCAGCTGAAGTGTGTTTTAATGATGGGAGAGTTGGAGTGAAGGAGACAATCTACATTTGGTTTATCATGAGAAAAGGTCAGCTGAAGTGTGTTTTAATGATGGGAGAGTTGGAGTGAAGGAAACAATCTACATTTGGTTTATCCTGAGAAAAGGTCAGCTGAAGTGTGTTTTAATGATGGGAGAGTTGGAGTGAAGGAGACGATCTACATTTGGTTTATCATGAGAAAAGGTCAGCTGAAGTGTGTTTTTTTAATGATGGGAGAGTTGGAGTGAAGGAGACAATCTACATTTGGTTTATCATGAGAAAAGGTCAGCTGAAGTGTGTTTTAATGATGGGAGAGTTGGAGTGAAGGAAACAATCTACATTTGGTTTATCCTGAGAAAAGGTCAGCTGAAGTGTGTTTTAATGATGGGAGAGTTGGAGTGAAGGAGACGATCTACATTTGGTTTATCATGAGAAAAGGTCAGCTGAAGTGTGTTTTAATGATGGGAGAGTTGGAGTGAAGGAAACAATCTACATTTGGTTTATCATGAGAAAAGGTCAGCTGAAGTGTGTTTTAATGATGGGAGAGTTGGAGTGAAGGAAACAATCTACATTTGGTTTATCATGAGAAAAGGTCAGCTGAAGTGTGTTTTTAATGATGGGAGAGTTGGAGTGAAGGAAACAATCTACATTTGGTTTATCATGAGAAAAGGTCAGCTGAAGTGTGTTTTAATGATGGGAGAGTTGGAGTGAAGGAAACAATCTACATTTGGTTTATCATGAGAAAAGGTCAGCTGACGTGTGTTTTAATGATGGGAGAGTTGGAGTGAAGGAAACAATCTACATTTGGTTTATCATGAGAAAAGGGCAGCTGAAGTGTGTTTTAACGATGGGAGAGTTGGAGTGAAGGAGACGATCTACATTCTCTGGGCTTATCCTGAGAAAAGGTCAGCTGAAGTGTGTTTTAACGATGGGAGAGTTGGAGTGAAGGAGACAATCTAAATTCTCTGGGCTTATCCTGAGAAAAGGGCAGCTGAAGTGTGTTTTAATGATGGGAGAGTTGGAGTGAAGGAGACAATCTAAATTCTCTGGGCTTATCCTGAGAAAAGGGCAGCTGAAGTGTGTTTTAACGATGGGAGAGTTGGAGTGAAGGAAACAATCTACATTCTGTGGGCTTAATATGAAACAAGAGCAGCTGAAGTGTGTTGTAAGGATGGAAGAGTTGGAGCTTAGAGATAGTAGCGTGAGAGTCACACCATGGAAGAGATTGGGGGCTCACCACATGATGTTCCGATAGTCAGCTGTAAGTGCATTGCAGCCAACCTCTGCTGACAGAAAATTTAGCTTAGAAGTTATTGTTGCATCTGACAATGCTTTGCTAATGCAGTTTCCACATATCGATGGAAATCTATGGTTTTGCAGCATGAGCTACTGAGTTTAGTGCTTGGGGCAGCACTGTGAGCTGTGTTTTTCATGTAGAATGCCTTCCATTTGTGCAGCAGCTCATTCTTGATATATTTGAAAGCTGGTTTATGTGTCATCTGGTGAAATAACTTATGTAATAATTAGGGCTGTACTGAATAGTGATTTTCAATATTAAGCCGAATACGAATTGCGGGACCAACTCAACTATTCAGCCAAATACGAATATGAATAGTTTATTATCAACATAAGGTGCCTTGCCGTCTGGCGTGGGCGATTATGCCTCGCCACAATGTGCGATCTCCTGTATTAGTTTGTGTGCTGACACACCTCCATGCCATGCAACAAGACTGTCAAGCATCTTCTCTGGTTGTCTTCCTCTATCCCTCCTTCCACAGATCTTTCCAGTGGTCACCACATGTTCCATTTTCCCTTTTCTCATAACATTGCCGAAAAATGATGACTGTCTCCTTCTGATGTCTGTGATTAGTTGTCTTCGGGCTCCCACCTCTTTTAAAACCTCTTGGTTGCTTTTTTGTGTGTGGCTGTCCAGGGTATTTTAAGCATTGTTCTGTAAAACCACATTTCTGAGGCCTCAAGAAATTGTTTGTTCTGCCTGCCGATTGTCCAGGACTCAACGCATTGCCTTTAAATATAAGTGCTTACTTAACGAGGCTAACAGTTACTATTGTACAGACCACATTTTGCACTTTAAATTTTCAGCCAAAATGTAATCACAACCTTACTTATCCGCTGCACCTTAACGAATACATATGGAGGATCGGTCGCACCCCGAGATAAATACAAAGACAATTTTTAGCACGCTGCGGTTGGCATTTTATGCAGTATGATATACTTTGAGTGTGAAATAAGGAAAAAAAAAACTTGTTGACAGTGGCGAGGAAATACAATTTAAATTTAAACTTCTAAGTATCGTCATGCCTTCCTTAATAATGTTACAATTTATAGCCGACTTTTCTTGATTTTTGCTGCGGCACCCCTGGCATAGGCACCCAGTTTGAGAACCTTTGCTGTAATGCCTCATCGTCAGCAGGCAAGGACCTTGCCAGCTGATCTACCACGCAACCGGGTCGCAGTTTCCCCCGCTACGACAGACTTAGGCAACAGCAACTATTGTGTTAATGAGAGTTATTTCAGTCCATGGCAGTGTATACAGAAAAGGGTGTGAGGTAACCACTATTCGTAATCGGCTCGACCTCTAGTGTTCGGCCGAATACTGAATAGTTATTAGGTCCACTATTCGGCCCCTAAGTGATTACGAAGCGAATATTCGGTACAGCCCTAGTAATAATTTTATGTGTAAATAGTCAACTCATGTCAGCTCTGTGGCTAAGTCGATGCGAACGCTTCGCTTCGTTATGCCGGGATGCCAGGTTCGATCCCAGCTGCGGGCAATGCGCCTTGCGTTGGTTTCGACAGCGGTATCAAGAAAGCCGACCGTCCCAGAAAGCAATGGCAAACTACTGGACGTAAATTGCCTAGAGAAACCACACAACAGCCAGGGGCTGTTAGGGTTGGTTCTGCAACGTCCTGTAAAGGATACGCAACTAATTAGTCAACTCATTGTGATTGACTACTTCCATCACTGACAGTCTGCATTTCTGTTGGCTACTGTTGCCTTTCTCACAGCACAGGAACGGAGCAAGTATGGGGTGACCCGATTGTGGTGAAGCTGAAATCTTGACTAAGAATAAAAAAATATATCCATGGTTTTGTGATCCACAGGCTGGCCATGACAACTGGATCCGTGGAGTGGTGTTCCACCCTGGTGGCAAATACATCCTCTCTGCGGCCGATGACAAAACTATCCGAGCGTGGGACATCCAGAACAAACGTAACCACAAGGTCTTGCAGGCGCACCCCCATTTTGTGACATCGATTGGTGAGTGGGCCAGATATCTTTATGAATGATTCAGTTATAGCTTAAAATATCTCGATGAAGAACTTCTTTTGCACACAATCTCTGTCACAGAAAGTTATCAAATGATTTCTTGTATACCTACTTATAGTCAGTAGTCTGTCCTACAAATATCACGTGGAGCAGACTGTGATCAAATACTATGTGGGTGACTCACATGTGACAGAGTCTGTTGGTCTTATTGTTAAACCATTTAGTCCTTTCTGTAATTGATTATGGCCTAGGAATATTAACTCTATCTACTTCACAGTTCAAAGCTTTAAAGGTTTAAAAATGAAGGAATGAGAATCGTCCTGGGTTGCACACAAGATACCACAATTAGAACAGTGAGGTAAATGCTTGGGCTGACATTCATAACATCTAGACTGTCACTGGCGCAAGCCAAGGCAGATATGTGAGTTACTGGCGCAAGCCAAGGCAGATATGTGAGTCACTGGCGCAAGCCAAGGCATATATGTGAGTCACTGGCGCAAGCCAAGGCAGATATGTGAGTTACTGGCGCAAGCCAAGGCATATATGTGAGTTACTGGCGCAAGCCAAGGCAGATATGTGAGTCGCTGGCGCAAGCCAAGGCAGATATGTGAGTTACTTGCGCAAGCCAAGGCAGATATGTGAGTCACTGCCGCAAGCCAAGGCATATATGTGAGTCACTGCCGCAAGCCAAGGCAGATATGTGAGTTACTGGCTCAAGCCAAGGCATATATGTGGGTCACTGGCGCAAGCCAAGGCAGATATGTGAGTTACTGGTGTAAGCCAAGGCATATATGTGAGTCACTGGCGCAAGCCAAGGCAGATATGTGAGTTACCAGTGATGAAAGGCATCTGCTGCATGGTAGTCTGAATGATTTATGAGCAGACTGGTTGAAAAAGGGAAAGTCATGGATTGCACTAGATGAAGATACTATCGAAATGGCAGGCTCTGTCAAGCAAATACACAGGGGGCACGAATGGGTTGACACGAACACCCACAATAGCAGTTTCTGTCAGGTCATTATCTTGTTAGGAAGAGAATGTAGAGAGTGGTGTAACGGTATTGCAGAATTAGAGGTACAACAACTGATAGATGGGAAGGCTGGACTAAATGATGCAGTAGTGTACACCAGTGGTTCTGGCAGGGTGTAAGATCTGGCTAGGAATATTTTAGCTAGAATGAAGGGAAAAATTGTGGCAGAACAAAATGGAGCTTTTTTTATCTACAACTTCAAGCATGAGAATGGAAGTGGAGGCGACTACTGCAGCTCTGAAGTGGAAAGCAGAAAACAAAGTTACCATATGAATTATTGTCTGATTCTCAGTCGGCATTGCATTGCAGAACGTTCAAAATGGACTAATGTGGCGTGAGTGGATACCATGCATCAGTACGCCAGCATTTGAGGGAATCACAAATATTTATACTGTCCGGGATGTGCATGAGTGCGAGGGAATAAAAGAGCAGATTTTTTGGCTACAAAAGTGAAAGCTATGGGAACACTCCTACTGGGCAAGGGAGATAGTCTGGAGACAATATATGAACCACTGTTGACAGAAGACACAAGATTAGATGAAATAACATGTGCATGAATGTGTGAACAAGGAATTAAGTGTGGATCTGGCAAAGAGGGACGAATGAGAGGAAGAGAACGTTGTGTGTATAATCGATGTGCTACAGGAAAAGTTAGCATCTACACCTTAAAACATTTGCTATGGGAGAAGGAGCACCTATGGGTATGCCTGGTGTGCTATGATGTCGATTCTTAAATCAGTAAATTGAGTTTCATATACAGACATCCATACACATAATTATTGTCTTGTTCCATCCACTAACAGGGTCTACGTATATAATCTGTGTCTTGTTCCATTAACAGACATAGTCATACATAATTATTCAGTCTTGTTTCATTCACAAGCATAGTCATACATAGATAATTATTGTCTTGTTCTATCCACAAACAGGGTTGTACGTAGATAATCTGTATCTTGTTCTGTCAACAGACATAATCATACATAATTAATCGTTGTCATAGATAATCATTGTCTTGTTCCATCCACAAACAGGGTCTCACATATAATATGTGGCTTGTTCTATCAAAAGCTGTAATCATGCATGTGTAATCATTGTCTTGTTCCATCCACAAACAGGGTCTACGTTTATCATATGTGTCTTGTTCTGTCAAAATCTGTAATCATACATATGTAATCATTGTCTTGTTCCATCCACAAACAGGGTCTACATATATATATATCATATGTGTCTTGTTCTGTCAAAACCTGTAATCATACATATGTAATCATTGTCTTGTTCCATACACAAACAGGGTCTACGTATATAATATGTGTCTTGTTCTGTCAAAACCTGTGATCATACATATGTAATCATTGTCTTGTTCCATCCACAAGCAGGGTCTACGTATATCATATGTGTCTTGTTCTGTCAAAAGCTGTAATCATACATATGTAATCATTGTCTTGTTCCATCCACAGACATGCACAGGAATGCCCCCTACGTAATCACAGGCAGTGTAGACACCACAGTGAAAGTATGGGAGTGTCGCTAGGAGACGAGAACACTTGAACACTTTGTTCCCATGCTTTAGTGATCGGCAACAAAGAGCACCTACCCACATTCACAGCAGGCGATTGATGGAAGAGTGAGAGATGTAGAAAGAGAGAGAAAATGAGAGAGAGAGAGAGAGAGAGACAGAGAGAGAGAGAGTTTGTGTTTCACCAAGCATTTACTGTTGTAGCAGTGCTTAACTTGTGATCATCGTCCATGACTTTGTCCACCCCACCGCCACTCATCATTTACATTCCTGTGTTTGTTGTACCCATGAGGGATCTACAGAGCTGAGAGATCCAGTGCTGTGACTTTACCCTCTGTGTGATGTTGACAGACTTGAGTTGTCTACAAGATCTTCGGTTTTATCATTGCCAGATAATGGCTTGGCACATTTCTGTATAATTTTGTCATGTCACGTCAATATATTAATCTTGGCAAATTTGTGTATTGTTTTGTGATGCACGTTGATATTTTAATCTTGGCAAATCTTTGAATAATTTTGTAATGTCAAGTTAATATATTAATCTTGGTCAAATCTATGTATAGTTTTGTGATGTCAAGTTAATATATTAATCTTGGCAAATCTATGTATAGTTTTGTGATGCCAAGTTAATATATTAATGTAGGTCAAATCTATGTATAGTTTTATAATGTCAAGTTAATATATTAATCTTGGTCAAATATATGAATAGTTTTGTGATGTCAATTTAGTATATTAATCTTGGTCAAATCTGTATATATTTTGTAATGTCAAGTTAATTATTAATCTTGGTCAGATACAGTGCAGAAGACAATTGGCTTATCCCTAGCAGTTTTTCTTGCTTGAATTCTTATCTGGATAAGATGAATTTCTGATAAGAAGAACCATTTGTTGGGTCCCTGGTGAGTTCTCCTTATCAGATCTGTGCTGTATATGTATAGTTTTGTCATGCTTACAGTCATGTACGGCCAAGGTGAATATTAATGTTGGCATATTTATGTATAGTTTTGTTTAATATCAAGTTAATATATGAATTTGGGCACATATATGTATAATATCAAATATGTATAGTTTATGTTGTTAAAACGTGAATTGTAGCAGTTTATTTCTAAATGTCACATCTCCTCACTAAAAGTTATAAGTAAAAGACGTTTTGGTGAGATTCTTCAAAATGTGAAATTTTCAAACAGAAAACAAAATGTTGTTAATTTCCTGGCTTCCTGCAGTTGTCCAACTTTAAATGGAGACCAAGAAGTCTTCTGGGAAGTGAAGGGGCCCAGTGTAATTTAAACACATCTTATATCATGCGCTGAATGGTCTCAGGCTAAGGTTCCCTCATGTTAAAATTGTATGTTGAGGGACCCAGTTCAGATCCTCGGTAAAGTGATAAGATCTTTTGTCTGCGAAGTTGACCACATCATCCATTGAGTGCAGACTGACCTGTAAGAATGTAGGTCAAGTAACTGGAAATAATTCTTTTACTGCACTGTATGTCTTTCCTATGCTTCACTAGGGGATGAAGCGTAGAAGAAGATTAAATTGTTGTTGTTATCGATCCAGCGGCGCATGAGCTTTCGCCCTTTGGCCCAATGCCATGTAGTGGAATTTGCATGTTTTCACAAGCTGTTCTTTTCCTCCGTACAAGGTGTTCCACTTGTCTGATCTCGGAGGGAGTAGCGTTCTTCTTGTCTCACTGAGTTTTGGGCACTCAAAGAGATGGTGTTCAACAGTTTCGTAGGGGTAGTTACATAGCTGGCACTCTGGGGAGTGAAGAAGATTAAATAAGATCCATATAGTTCGAGGTCACAGCACCAGTTATGCGGCCCTAAAACAAGCAATGTGCCATCTCTACATTGAAGGCTGGTACACACAGTTGTCATTACGAATATTGTCTCGTGCAGCCATGGTGAGATTTCTACTGTTGTCAAGAAACCACAAGCATTGTTCTGTATTTATTGTGGTTCTAAATCCTCAAGCTAACTTTAACCCTTTACCCTACACTGCTTGGCAAAGTGAAATCATAAGGGCAGTAAAAAGACGGTTCTTAATTATCATTGACTAATCATTCTCACATTGTCAGTTGTAATGTTAATTCAAGTTCTAACGTGTGTCAGCAAAAGTTAGAGAACCACTAAAGATATTGAACGAAAGTTAATGTATTTGAAAAGAAATGCCTGAGGAAAATGTTAAACATAAAATGGGATGAATTCAAGAGGATTGAAGAAATGAGAGAAATATCAGGGCAACCACTGGGAACAACAGTTATAAGAGATGAGTTGAGTCAAGAATTAACAATCCCAGCACTCAGGGCATTTCCATGTGTACTCTGTCCTCATCTTCAGCAGCCAGCGCAGAGTTCCAGTACTAATGGTACTGGTCACAATCTGGTGATATGTCCATCTCAACAGTTATAAGAAAGAAGATGGAGTTATATTGGATACAGCCTCAGAAGAGAATTACCAAAAATTAGTAACCACGGAAATGAGATGTCTCAGAAGGGCTGTAGGAGTGACCTTAAGAGATAAGATCAGGAATGAGATCATAAGAAAAAAAGTCGGCACAGAACCAATTCTGGATTACATACGAAGACAGCAGGTGAAAGGGTTTGCCCACTTAGAGAGAATGCCTTGTGACACCATACCATACAAAGCATACATGGAAAGAGAAGAAGGACGTAGAGCACGAGGTAGACCAAGAACAAGATGGAAGGGTAACATCAGAGAAACTCTACAACAGAACGATGTGCCTATGGTCGAAGCGGCCAGAAAAGCTAGAAACAGAACCTTATATCTCACTCGACACCCACAGCTGTAAAAGAGGAAGTGAAGAAGAAGTAGAAGAAGAAGATAAAAGGTGCTAGACCAGATTCCATCCATGATATCAAAGGCAGATTGCACAGGATAAAAGGGAATGGAGGAATAGACGGCAAGTCCTATGTGAGATATAATGGCACCACAGGTCAGTGAGTCATATAGCAGGGATCATTCACAAGCACATCTTTGCTTCTCTCATTGCTCTTTTTGTGTGGCTGAGATTCTTTTACAAGGTTTTTGTGTGATATCAGTGTTTCTGTCTTTCCATGTATTGTAATCTATGCTGCTTGACACAATCATATTTTGAGCACCATTGTTTGGTGTCTGTTCTACCTGCACCATGTTTTGTGTCTTGTAGCTTTAGTTTTTAGTTTCGCTAAAGGCACAGATAGGGTCTTAATAGCTTATAATAAATTTACATCGAGTTTAGAACTTTTAAAATTATTAAACAATTGATTTAAGATTGATGCCAGATTTATTTCTTGAAATTTTATTTTTATTTTTATTTTTCAATTATTGAGGATTCCAACACCCCCCCCCCCCCCCCCCCCCCCCCTTCTTTTTTTTTTTAAAAATACTGACAAGACTGTTCGTAGGTCACCAGAGGGTAGAGATAGATTGTTGAAGACAATTTTGCTGAGAATTTTTGTAGGCGAGGACGCAATGAATAGAGACTGATTGTGAAAGACACTTTTTTTAGGAGAATATTTGTGGGGACACATTAAGTACATGGGCTAAATGTAAAAGTCATGTTTTGTTGAGTACATGTGTAGTTTTCATGTAAGTGAAGCTGACAGGTTTTGACCAAGTCACTGAAATGTCTGAAAGTATTACAGATGGCACACTTAGTTGATAGACATACTTAGTTCTGACTACTTTATTTGTTGTGTGAATCTTGGGAGACTGGGAGGCACAGGGATCTGTTTTCTGTTAAATCTAGAGACCGCATAAATCTGTTGGAGTGAATCTAGAGTCTTTCTTGATTCCAGCTTATCTACAATGTGGTAATGAAGAGAGACCTGCCTGCCTCTGTATATCTGATTTGAGTTAATCTAGAGAGAAATTTGGTTCTACTGTGTCAGTTTTGAGTGAATCTGGAGAGACATAATTCTACCTTGTCAGTTTTGAGTGAATCTGGAGAGACACATAATTCTACCTTGTCAGTTTTGGGTGAATCTGGAGAATTTTGATTCTACCTTGTCAGTTTTTAGTGAATCTGGAGACTCTTGATTCTACCCTGCCAGTTTTGAGTGAATGTAGAGAGACATGATTTTACCTTGTCAGTTTTGAGTGAATCTGGAGAGACACATGATTCTACCTTGTCAGTTTTGAGTGAATGTAGAGAGGCTTCATTCTACCTTGTCAGTTTTGAGTGAATCTGGAGAGAGACTTGATTCTACCTTGTCAGTTTTGAGTGAATCTGGAGAGACACATGATTCTACCTTGCCAGTTTTGAGAGAATTTATTGAATTTATATGACTCAAGTTTTGATTCCTTTGCCTCTTGTATTTACCTGCTTCTGTTATGTTTGCTTCGGTAAATGAAGACAGCTACACCAAGAAAAGATAAACATGAGTTGAAGATCTATTAAATTCAACAGATACACCAAGAACAGATCTATTAAATTCAACAGATACACCAAGAACAGATTTATTGAATTCAACAAATACAGCAAGAAAAGATCTGTTTAATTCGACAGATACAGCAAAAAAAAAAAAAAAAAAAAAAAAGGTCAAGTCGGGATGTGTGAACCAGCGTCATTGCACACGGTTATAAACCATAAATGCTCTGCTGATAAGAAACTGTCCGCATGTGTCTCCCTTCGCAGGCTACAGCGAGGTTCCTCCATTAACTCCAGAGTGTTAACTCCGGTACCCATTTCCTAGAGGCTGGGTGAACCCTGGGAACCGCCCGGTTTTGAACACTGGCCCTGGGCTGCAGCAGGTCGCAGCTGGTTGTGAAAGTGAGTCACCTATCGACTGCGCTAAGCAAACACACATTTTTTATGGAACTCAGCAGATACAGCATGAAAATATCTGTTGAATTCAACAGATACAAAAAGAAAAGATCTGTCGAATTGAACCCTTACAGACACTGTCTGACACTCATGTAAATTGTACACAATTTTTACTGTAAATTGAACCCTTTATATATATATTCGCTTCATGGGAAGATTGTAAATAATTTGTGAGATGATGTAATTGA